ATATATACCTGGGGAAGAGACAATCATACACCTCCCCACCAGAGGAGATCTCCCTGACCATAGGAGAGTGGGAGGGAGGACTGCAGCCCCACTCACCGACATTACCCCTCCTCCTTCCCTGCTTCAGACACTAAAGAGAGAGTGAAAAAGTTGGTTCTGCAGAAGAGACTTGATTAAAGGAACAATTACAGAGCTTGCCACAAGAGGACAGGTTGTTTTTTTTTTTTTAATTTTTTAAAAATTTAAACAAATTTTGACTGTTTGCTAGGTTATCTATTATTAAAATATTTTTCCTTTGTGCAAGAATTTGTGTGAGGGTTTGATCTGCATCCCCCCAGATTTTTTTTCTTTTCTTTTTCTTTCTATCTTCTTTTATTTGTCATTTTCTGTTTCTGGGTGTTCATCTTTCAATTTTGTTGTTGTTTTGGTTTATTTTTGCTCTTTGGTTCTTCTTTTTTTTATTTTCATTTTTTATAGTTTAAGATGTGTGTCAATATATGTGTGAGGGTTCGACCTGAATTCCTCCCTCCCCCCCACTGATCTTTCTGTTTTTCTTCTCTATTCACTTTGTGCTAGGCATGTGTGTGTGTGTTTAGTTTTCTTGTTTTTTTGTGTTGTTGTTTGTTTTGTTTCACTTTGTTGTTATTCTAGTTTGTTTTGGGGCATATGTCTCTGTGTGTATGTGTGTTCAATTGTTTTTTGCATTGGTTTTCATCATATAGAGTGGTGGTGGGGAGTGGGTCTCAGGGAACACATACCACAATAAGGGAACATTTTAATATGCAAGTAGTTTCTGAATCCTAGCGCTCCCTTCCCTACTTTATTTGAATTTCAAAAACTACAAGAGACAGCAAAGTTTCCCAAACAAAATGAAATAGGGAATAAAACAAACCCAGAACCTGGATCAAGGAAGAATAGAGGACTAAGCCAAAACAATCCTTAGCAAAAGAAACAAAGCAGGAGGTATCACACTTCCAGATTTCAAGCTTTACTATAAGACTACAGTAATCAAAACAACCTGGTATTGGTACAAGAACGGAAACACAGACCAATCGAACAAGATAGAGATTCCAGAAGCAAAGCCTCAATTTCTCAACCAACTCATCTTTGACAAAGCCTCCAACAACAACTACTGGGGAGAGGAGAACCTATGCAGTAAATAGTGCTGGGAAAACTGGCTGATCACATGCAGAAGATTGAAGCAAGATCCCTACCTATCACCATACACAAAAATTATTTCTAAATGGATCAAAGACCTAAATGTAAAGCCTCAAACTATAAGAATCTTAGAAAACACTGGAGACACTCTTATGGAAATTGGAACTGACAATCAATTCCTATTCAGAACCCTAAATGCCCATACCTTAAGAAATAAGATAGACAATTGGGACCTCATCAAACTAACGAGCTTCTGCAAAGCAAAAGAAACCATCAAGAGATCAGGGAGACATCTAGGAGCTACAAGGAACTTAAATGCACCAAAAGGAAAAAAACCAAATAGTCCCCTTAAAAAGTGGGCAAAATACATGAATAGACACTTCTCAAAAGAAGATACATGGGCAGCCAACAGACACATGAAAAAGTGCTCAACTTCACTCATCAGAGAAATGCCAATCAAAACTACATTGAGCTACCACCTAACCCCAATAAGAAACACCATCATTTATAAAACAAACAGCAACAGATGCAGGTGAGGATGTGGAGAAAAAGAAACGCTTCTGCACTGCTGTTGGGAATGCAAACTAGTGCAATCTCTTTGGAAGACAGTGTAGTGATTTATGGAAGAAATAGAAATTGACCTGCCATATGACCCAGCAATTCCTCTATTGGGAATATACCTGGAGGAACTCAAATCATTCTACAAAGAAGATGCCTGCACATGTATGTTTGTTGCAGCTCTGTTCCAAATAGCAAAAACATGGAACCAACCATATTGCCCATCAAAGCTGGACTGAATAAAAAAAAGTGGTACATATACACAATGGAATACGATGCAGCCTTAAAGAGGGACAAACATATAGACTTTGCAGCAACTTGGATGGATTTAGAGCCTATCATACTCAGTGATCTATCACAGAAACAAAGAACAGAGTATCATATGTTCTCACTTATAAGTGGACCTTGAACAATTATAATACTATAAGAAAAAGATTGGCAGTAGTGGGGAACTTTCAGGGGATGTGGGGTGAGATTGATAGTTGAGGGAAACTGCTAGGGGAGGGAGGGACATACTTCATTAATAAGGGTACCTGCATAATCAATGTTTGTATACCTAATCTTGAATTGCACCCCACATCTTTATAGTCAAAAATAATTAATTAATTTTAAAAAAAGAAAATGCAAAATTTGAGGAACATTAATTTAAGATTAGAGAACAGGAAAGACAATATACATTTAAAACTAAATAAAATGAAAAGAAAAAATGGAATATATTATGAAAAACAGAAATGGAAAGCATCATAATGCTAATATATATTAATGTATAAAGAGTAATAAAATTTAAAAGATATTTAATAACTATTTATTAATATAAGAGAATAATTAAGAAAGTTTAAATTTATGGTTGTCAGGAAAGATAGTTTTCCATAAACAAAATAATTGAGATAATTTGAAATAATCTAGATATTTGTTCCCTCCAAAATTTCATGCTGAAATGTGATACACAGAGTGGCAGATGGGGCCTAGTGGGAGAAGTTTGGGTGAAGAAGAGGATCCCTCATGTATAGCCTGAAACTTTCTTCGTAATAGTGTGTTCTCCCTCTATTAGTTCACACAAGCGCTGGTTTAAAAAAAATCATGGAACCTCCCACTTCTCTCTCCCTCTCTCTCTGTGTGACATGCCTCCTCCCCTTTCCTTTTCCATTTCTATCATGATTGAGAGCTTCCAGAGTTCCTGACCAGAAGCAGACGCTGGTGCTATGATTTTTGTGTCATCTGCACACCCACGAGCTAATGTAAAATAAAGTAAGGCATGGTCTAATACTGCCAAAGCTCAAAAACATTAATTATAACATTGAATCACATAAACCTTATAGCTAGATGATCATACTTCTTGGTTTGCCAAATAAGAGTTTGCCCAGATAAGAATTTATTCTTATTTTGTAAATAATTGTAACTACTCCTTTTTACTAAAAGTATGAGCCTGTTTGAAAAATATATCATCACAGTAACAGGAAAAAAATATGGAGGATAAAGGGAACATTTGAAGTGATTATATATTTACACGTGTATACGGATATTAACTTTTATCTATAATTTAATATATAAATATAATAATGTTTTTATTGTATATCATACATGTAAAATTTTCTCTAAATATAGATAAGCACATATATATAATTGTAAGAGTACCATATATGAATTGGAGAATCAAAATGCATTTGGATTGGGGACTGGTTCATTTATTAACATGACTATAATTTGAGCATTTTATATCACAGATGTGAGGAATCAGTTGACAGAGAAGTTGAATTTATAAAAAAATACGAAATGATCAAAGGGGTAATATTTTAGCATTGTCTGAAATGAGGAAGAGATGATTATCTTAAATAACAGTAAGGCTATCGTTTTAGTTTGAAATAGGAATACACTTGGCAGTGACAATTAGATGTGTTGACTTGGATTGAAAGTGTTTCCTTCTCCAGTCTACTTTCAACAGGGCAGCAGGGTTGGTTCCATGTTTTTGCTATTGTCAATTATTCAGCCATAAGTGGACTGGATAAAGAAAATGTGGTACATATACACGATACAATATCACGCAACTATAAAGAAGAACAAAATCATGGACTTTGCAACAAATTGAATGGAAATGGAAACCATCATACTTAGAGATCTATCACAGTAACAAAGAACTGAATATCACATGTTCTCACACATTAGTGGGACCTGAACAGCAATCACTTTAACACAAGGGAGGGATGAACAGTCGCTGAAAACTCCCCAGTCTACTAGCATAGTTGATCCTGACTTGTATTCCACATCTCTATAATAAAATTTTTTTAAAAAAAGAAAGTGCTGGGCGTGGTTGCTCCCATCTGTGATCCCAGCACTTTGGAGGGCACAAGCAAGAGGATTGCCTGAACCCATGGGTTCGAGACCAGCCTGGGCAACTTGGCAAGACCTTGTCTCTATAATAAATTTTTTTAAAAATTAGCTGGGCATGGTGAGGTGCCTCTGTAGTTCCAGCTACTTGGAAGGCTGAGGCAGAAGGATAGCCTGATCCCAGCAGGTGGAGGCTGTGGTGACCACGAGTGTGCCACTGCCCTCCACCCTGGGCGACAGAGTGAGAATCTGACTCAAAAAAAAAGGAAGTGTCCCCTTCTGAAAGACACACACACACACACACACACACACACACACACACACACACACGGAGAGAGAGAGAGAGAGAGAGACAGAGACAGAGAGTGACAGAGACAGAGAGAGATATATATAGAGAGAGACAGGCACACAGAGAGAATTATATTAAATGTCTGTTTCCAGTTCAGAACATCTCCCTTACAATGACCAACAATTCATCTACATGAATTAGCCTGCTTTCCAAGATCATTTATTCTGTGTTTTTTTTTTTTCTGAAGAGAGTCTTAGGACGACTATATGTTTTAACCAGAGCTACTTGCTTTTACTATTGTATAATTCTCATTCTAGGATTTAGAACTTGACTTTTGAAGAATATACTTGATACAAAGTACAGTAATCATTTTCACCTCAGGCTTTAAGTTCTTTTCCTCTTAGAGTTCAAGTTGTCATTTTTAGAAATTCCTAATAAAGGGATTTCCTGATCCCACCAAATTTCAGAAGAAAAAAATAAATTTTATTTCTAGGCATGAGAATGAGTAATGTCATTTTTTTCTTGATAAGTTCCTAATTTTTAGCCTTTAGCACTTATTGGAAGTATTTTGCCAAATGAGTAGTTGCCTACATTTGATATTCCTTTTTTTCTTCCTCCTTAGGATCTATGTCTGGGAGATTGTTATAAGCAGAGCTTCTCACAGTTTTCCATGTCAGTGTTTAATATTACATTTCAACCTTCTGTCTTCACCCTCACTGGCCTCCGAGGTCTGGTAGGAGCCCGCCTATGGCTGGGACCACTTCTGAGCCTGATGTACATCACTACAATGGCAGGGAACTGTACAGTGATATACTTGGTGAAGAATGAGCATAGTTTACAGGAGCCTCAGTACTATTTCTTGTCCATGCTGGCTGGAGCTGATATTGTCTTGTCTATCTCAACACTCTTCTCTGTGCTCAAGGTCTTCATCCTTGGCCTCTATGAAATTGCATTTGATAGTTGCCTCACTCAACTCTTCTTCATTCACACGTTCTCTTCCATGGGTTCAGGAATCCTGTTGGCCATGGCTTTTGACCGCTTTGTGGCCATCAGTCACCCCCTGCAATATACCACCATACTCACTAACTCACGAGTCATAAAAATGGGGATGGCAGCCTTGCTGAGAGGTGTAGCACTCATGACTCCATTGCCTATCCTGCTCAAGAGGCTGCCTTTCTGCAAGGGCCAAACACTCTCCTATTCCTACTGTCTCCACCCAAATGTCATGAAGTTAGCTTGTGGCCAAGTAAAAATCAATATTTTATATGGACTGGTTTTGGTAATCTTTTCTTTTGGGGCTGACTTTCTGCTGATAGTCATTTCTTATGCACTGATATTCCAAGCAGTACTGGGTATTGCTTCCAGAGAAGGTCAGATGAAGGCACTCAACACCTGTTTGTCTCACATCTTTATTGTCCTTATTTACTATGGACCTCATTTGGCAATAACCATAATGCATAGAGTCAGTCACAGAAGTTCCCCATTAGCACATGCAGTCCTGGGAAATATTTACCTCTTTATGCCTCCGATGCTCAACCCAATTGTGTACAGTCTGAAGACCAAGCAGATCCGTGCTGCCATGAGTAAAACTTTTCCAATCTGGAGAAGTTGAAGAATTAGATAAGTTAATGGTGGTTTAGGTGAGAAAAAAATAATATCAATTCCATACAAATGTAAGAATTGTGGTAATTGTGGTAATCTTTGATATAGGATAGACATAGATGTGACTAGAACATGAAATGTAAATCATGGTTTTTATGAATAAAGATATACACTTTTATAATCATATTATTTTCTTTGCTGTGCCATTTTTCTTAACATGTGGTTTGAGATAGTTTGAGAACAAAATTGAGACAGATGAAAGATCCATGGCTAGAATATTCTTGATAACTCTTTGCTATAAGACATATATCTGTCCATTATCTATATCTATTCATTTTTTAAAATGAAAGTTGTAATTCAACAACTTTGTGAATAGTTCAGAAAGTTCAGCAAGTCTCTCACCCGCATTATCTATCTTTATACTTTTTTCCATGTTTCATTGCATCTATTTTATTTTAAAATTGTGGTTCACTAAGGAAGAAATCAACAGAGTGAAATAGCCTACAAAATGAGATAAAATATTTACAAACTGTACATTTAATATAGGTTCTATATAAAAATCATATTAGGGACTCAATTTAATAGGAAAAAAGAATTGTGATTTTAAAATGGGCAAAGATCCAAATATATATTTCTTAAAAGAAAACATCTAAATGGTCAACAGATATATTACTAATCATCACTAATGATCAGTATAGTACAAATTAAAATCACAATGCCTTACAAATTAAAATCACTTGCCTGTCAGAATGACTACTATCAAAAAAGCAAAAGATAAGAAGTTTTAGTGAAGATGTGGAAAAATGTGTACACTCATTCCCATTATATTCATATTGTTGGTAGAAATATAAATAAATACAACTCTTAGGAAAAACAGTATAGAAGTTCTTCAAAAAACTAAAAATAGAAGCATCATATCACTCAGATATCTCACTACTGGATATATATCCAATTGAAAGAAATCAGTATGCTGAAGATATATTTGCACTGCTATTTTCATTGTAAGACTATTCACAGTAACCAAGATATGGTCTCAACCCTAGTGTTCCTGAATAGATGAATAGGTACAAAAATGTGACATATATACATAATTATTGCTCAGCCTTCAAAAAAAAATCTTGAAATTCTCAACACATTAATGAGCTTGGAGGACATTGTGTTAAGAGAAATAAGTTAGAAAACAGGAACACAAATATTGTATGATCCTACTTATATGTTAATCCAAAAAATGTGAACCCATAGAAGCATAGAGTAGTATGGTGGTTACCAGGAACTGGTAGAAGAGGGCAGTAGGTATAAATTGATCAAAGGATGCACAATTTCAGTTAGGCAGGAGGAATAAGTTCAAGAGATCTATTGTCTATCATGGATACTATAGTTAAAAACAGTGTATTATATATTTTAAAATCACTACAAGTATAGATTTTAAGTGTTTTCACTATAAATAATTAGAAAGTACATGATGTAATACATATATTAATTACTTTGATTTGCCCATTCTACAATGTATAATTATTTCAAAGCACCGAATTGTACACCATAAATATATACAATTTAGTTTTGTTAATTTTAAAAAAGAATATGACCATTTAATCAGTACACATGTGAGTTTAAATTCTAGTTCTATTACTAGCTTATTTCTGGGAACATTGTATGCCTCATGTATACATAAATGGATAGTCAATATATTACATCTTTGAATAAGACAAATGTTCCCTGTTGAAATCAAGGGATTGATAGTGTGTCTTATCTAAGTGAACATGAGGAAAAACAAAATTAGGTCAATGTGATAATCAGTAACTAAATAAATGAGGTCCGATGTTACCCATGTGTTTGCATATGGGGCAAAACAAGCAAACAAAAATCAAAAAAGCATATTTTACTATAATTAATGTAATATTATTTCTAGTATGTGGTTGTTTTTAATACTGAGTCCAAGTTTTAATTCGGGTGACAGTGACAAATTATTTAGTAACTTTTAACTTTTGTCTCCTAACATTTAAAATGAAGCTAATAAAACTCATCTTATTTATTTCAAGAAATAATACTTTAGGAACATAAATAAAGTTTAAAGCAAAGGTAGAATTCAATAAGTCAATTTCTTTCTTTTTTTTTTTTTTTTTTGAGTTGGAGTCTCACTCTGTCGCCCAGACTGGAGTGTAGCGGCCGCTCCTGAAGTGCAGTGGAGTTCGACCTGCTGGGCTCCGGGGATCCTTCCGCCTCAGCCTTCCAAGTAGCTGGAACTACAGGTGCACACTACCACGCCAAGCTAATTTTTTGATTTATTGTAGAGATGAGGTCTTGCCAAGTTGCGCAGGAGGGTCTCAAACCCGTGGGCTCAGGCAATCCCCTCACCTCGGCCTCCCAAAGTGCAGAATTATAAGCTGAGCCACTGAGCCGGACTCAATAAGTCAATTTCTTCCTTTTAAGAGCAAAGTGTTTTGCTGAGCTCGGTGGCTCAGCCTGTAATCCCAGCGCTTTGGGAAGTTGAGGTGAGTGGATTGCCTGACCCCAATGGTTCGAGACTTGCCCGGGCAACTTGGCAAGACCTCATCTCTACAATAAATAAAAAAAAAATTAGTCCGGCATGGTAGCCCGCGCCTGTAGTTCCAGCTACTTGGAAGGCTGAGGCGGAAGGATCGCTGGAGTAAAGCAGGTAAAGGCTGTGGTGGCTGGGAGTGTGCCACTGCACTCTTGTCTGGGTGACAGAGTGAAACGCCAACTCAAAAAAAAAAAGGGGTTTAAAAGGTGTCTCTCACTTGCTTTGTATTACATTTGAAATAACTTTTTGATTGCATTATCATTTATTATTAAAATTATGACCAGTGTGTAGACATACTTGTGAAAATAAACAGCAAATATGACATTAACACGCACATGTTCATATCTGTAGGTCTAGAGGTAAAGACAGAGGCAACAAGTAGGATGTTCCTAAATGCACCCCCAGCAGTAGGTATGCAATTGTTGAATCATCTAACTCTGGGGTGGTAGGCATTTACATAAACAAACCCAGTGTAATCATCTTTCAGCCACTAAAATCAACATCCTTTTATTTGTGGGAGGAAAGATGCCAGAGACCAGGTCCAGCCGGGTTCAGGGTACCCCAAAGGTGGAGATGGTGTTGGCAATTGGGGGGAAGAAGAGAGAAAGAGAGAGAGAGAGAGAGAGAGAGAGAGAGAGAAAGAGACTGGACTCCGGTCTAGTGCAGAAGCAGAAGATGTGTGTTATTGGGAATTACAACTGGTCTTTTATACACAAAGTCAGATGTGGGAGGGGTGTCTCCCACCCACCAAAAACCTTAATCCATGAAAACTTAATCAATGATTGCCTTTAAACCCTTTTCATATGATAATCTTAAAATCCCATAACAAAGAATAACCTAATCCGTGACTGACATATTCTATAAACCTTTTTCATCCTAAGCTGATTGATTTATGCCAAGTTAAACAATTCTATAGAAGCTTAAGTATTTACTTTACAAATGAAAGTGGCCCATCCCGGAATGTTTGAAATGTGGCCCAGTCCAAAATTCACAGTGGGCTACCTGCAAGTAACCCAACCGCATTCTTTCAACAAAATGGCTGTCTTCTAAAACTATATTCTACAATTTACACCTTCAATAAATCCTAAGATCATGACTCAGAAGCCTGTGACCAATACTAAAGCTCTTAGATGTGACATGAGTTTGAATTATAAGTTGGGTGAAAGCCAGAATTGCAGTTTGCGGAAGAATGGGAGCAATGAGCTTCTAAAGTTAGCTTGTGTTCATCCCGGTCTCAGAGTTTTTATGTCTTGAGCTCACAGGAGCTTAATCTGGTTATTGCTGAGTAGAAAGGGGGAGGAAATGGGGTCAATAGCTCCCGAGTGCATCCTAGTGGTCGCGGGGTCAATGGCCCTTCCTGATCCCTTAACGCTCAGTGGGCCTCCGTGGCCGGCTCCCAACAGAAAGGCCTCTCCCCTCCCCCAGACAATGGAGTGAATGCCCAGGAATCAAGGTCCTGAGCCTCACACAACCTTTGAGAAAACAGTTCTAAAGTCCTGGCTTGCACAGTCTATGCCAGCTGGTCTCGAGGCACTTGCACTGTGCTCCTCCTGCCCTTCCACAGCCCCTCCTAAGGAAGGTATTACCCCACGTTATAGCAAAGACACTGCAAAAAATCACAAAAATCACACTTTTACCAGGGCAACACATTACCAATTATATCTCTTAGTTGATGTATTTATCAGTTTATTCATTTATTAATTAATAATGCATTTATGTACAATAGTAATGATATTTTGATAGATACTGAAGATTCATTGGCAGAGACAATAGACAGGGTGCCTGATTGTTTAGAAGGAAAGAGTTGTTAGACAGTAGTCATTATAATAGGTGACAAGTGGCGATGTCAAGTGCAGTTATCTTTGCCCATGAACATTTATTCACTTATGAAAGGAAAGAATGGAAATGTTCTTTGCCACATAGTAAGATAGCTACTCATGGATACAGAATAAAGCAAAGCAGTGTCTTTCTGCAACAATGCATAATTAATTGAGAAGGTAGGTATAAAGAGGCAACTAAAATTGTGCTTTGAGTATTAAAATTATTTAAAGGGTACACTGAGGGAAAAAGATAACTGTTAATTCTACTAAAATATTAGAAACATTTTAAATACAAAAGGTGTTGTCTAAAGTTGGTGTTGAAATTGGTGACACCAAGCAATTGGTAAAAGCTTAAAGTTACATGAAGGCTGGTATAACGTGTGAAAACATATTGAATCATCTGGTCTGAGGAGAACTGACTTTGAGTAGTTGGAGTTGAGGCTGGCAAGTAGGAGACACATGAGAAAACATAAAACTTTCTAAAATATTTTAATAAGTTGACCTCTATTCTATAGCTAATTGTAAAATATTTAATCATTCAAATTTACATATTTGAATAGGGAGAGACTTCAAAAAATTTTCAGTAAGATCCAACATGCAGCACTGTGAATAATGAATTAGATCAAGACAATAAACAAAATACCATCA